TATTCCTGGGATTAATGAGCTCTGCACACTGTGATCAATACATTTCATGAACAATACCCTTTTCTTTTGCTGTCCAACCTCTTCCACGCTGTGTTTTGGCAAAAAATAAGAATGCATCTGGGTTTGTATTGTGAAACTTTTCTTTACTCTTACTCAGCATGGCCACAGGTGTGTAACCACTCAAATTATGGCCACAAAGACTGCACTTTTTTGTAATTTTTAAATATGCATTTCTGGGGCAGCTACTGGTCAGAGTTCATTGAACTACAGAGTGCCCATGTATACAATTCTATTGTCTCTTATTTTCACTGGAGTATATCAAAGTGATTATTTAGTAACCACAAAATAATGGTACGAAGTGGTATGAGTCCTGTACTCTCACTCGACTGCATTGTCTGTCTACCAACAACTATTGTTGGCTTCAGAAAAATACTGTCAGATGCTGCTAGCCAGGCTGGGCCTTAGCCTGCCACTGCAGTGCCTGTCAGGAATCATTAGCTACTGATCTCTTTGACTAATGGTCCAGTTGATTGTCTGATTCATGTTCAAGATCTGTAAATGAGGCAGAAGCATCTTTCCTGCTCACCAGCTGTGAAATGGCTAAACACAGCTAGATTTGCAGAAATCAAAATAAATGTATTTCCAATAAAGTTTGGCAACGATATCAAATCTAAAGCTGAAAGCAGAACTATGTTTTTGTGTTTTTTAAAGTTACAGTATTATAAATCAATGTTATCTCATGATGTGCTTGTCAGAGAAATGTATTTTACCAAAACAGTGAAATGCTGGTAGTAGCATTAATCTTGTGTTGAGTTGGATAGATGTTCTTTATTCAACATAAATTCATACTTTCAATATTTTCTCTTTTGTCCATTATCCCCAGATGTACCAGTGTTCAGCAGAGCCTCTGTGCTTTTATCTGAGTCCTGTGTATGCTAATGGGGTGTGCGTGCATGTTTTTGTTCACATATAAAAGAATTACAGATGTGACAAAAATAAAAAATAAAAGGTGGGATTTTAGATGGAGGGGGTTCTTGGGGGAGGAGCTCCTGTATCTGTTTTATATTGATGGAATAAACCCTGGAGGGTCAGCCTGGCATAATGCCAAGATAACTGAGAAGTAAATCTGGGTCTGAGAGCTCACTAATATTTTTCTTGGAAAAGGAGGTAAATATGACATTCACCACTAGCTAGAGAATTAGTGTGAGAGCCATACCACAAACAGGCTCTACTTTGCGGATTCAAGCAGAGATTAAGACTTTACTTTTACACTGTAATTGTAGGCACAACAGACTTAAAAAGACACTGAAAAAGAGTTGATTTTGTGAATAGATGTTCCCACAGGAGCTATCCTGTGGTCTGTCATGTGGAAGACAAAGTTGAAGTCCACCTTCCGCTTCTAGCTTCCCACATCCTGCGCAAAGGAGGAAAAGTGGTTGAAACACACTGTTCATTTCTGTATTAGACTTTGACTTTCATGTTATTTTGGTTTTTTAAGCTAGTGTTTCCACAGACCCAAAGAAGTAAAAATTTTGAGATAGTCAAAGTTCTTGATCCAAAAATAATCTGTGATCAGAATCAGTGTGTTTTTTGTAATTGTTATGTTGTTAAGCTTACATTTTTATATAGAGGTAGAAAGAACTGTACATTATTCTAATCTGTTCAACCTCATGTACAACAATCTTTTCCCTCTAGTTGCTAGGACTATCAAACTGTCTTTGAACAATATGGATATTTTATAATTTTATAATGGAGTCTAGCATGATCAAGATAAATCTATTGTAACTGCTTCCTTCCTCAGAACTCTTTGTACATGGCTAATTGTAAACAAACAAACAAACAAAAACATAAAGGAAAAAACAGACATTTTACCCCTTCAGTAACTCTAAATCTCTAGAAACTTTGTCTAACTTTAGAGAGGGAAATTTAGCTAAATAGTATTACACTATTTACCCAAAGTGGTTTTAATTATACATTACCAGTATAGATTATTACATAGTCCCATTCAATATCTATTTACACATTGTTTTATATTTTTATTAATGAATAAAGGAATTAATGAATAATTACAAAGGAAATTACCAAGATGACATTTTCAAACACAATATTGCTATAGAATACCGCAGCAGAAGCATCTTACCTTAATAAGATTGTTTTTCTTTTGTTGTCTGAATTTTTCCCATCCAGTAAAACTTCACATTTGTGTAGGAGTTTTCAGCATTAATTATTAATTATTCCACCTCTTCCTTGGATGTCATTTTCCCCTGCACAAATGGCCAATATATATATATAAAATACCATTTTCTGGCTATGCTTCTTTCTAAAGGGAAACTTTTCATTGGGAACCTATAAATTCCATTAGATCCAAATGGTAACCAGTGTTCCCAATATTTATCCACTTCCCAAAGGACTGATAGATGACTGGCAGAGCCCTGCCCACTCAATACTCCCTGCCGCATGTATGTCTTTTCCTATGTGGTGTCCACAGGAAACCAGTTAGATGGATCCTATCCCATAAAAATAATCAGGAAAGTTTTCATGCTCATTTGTTGGTTTTTTACAGATTCTGGCAGGCTCTGTGTTGATCAACAGGCAGAATCACTGTGTTGATTCCACTTGATTTTCCGGCATGTAAACTTTATCATTTTCTTGTTCTAAATGAAAATTTAAAATGTGCTGTAATTTCAAGAGACTCTGGGTGAAATCCTGTAATGCTTATATGTTTAACCATCATTTTAACCTGTTCTATCTGTTCCTCTTTTTCAATCCTGAAATGTTTCTGGCCTGAAATGTTTCTATCCTGAATGTTGAATGTTGGGCATACATCACAGAAGGGAAGAACACTCTTCACTTCTTTCACATAAATGGATACTGGGCAGTTTTGGCATCCAGGGATGCACAGCTCCTTTCCATCAAGCTCCTGTGTCCCTTTCTATGTCCCCATCTGTTACCTGAAGCTGGAGGAGTAATTTGAAATATAGACATAAAGAGTACATTTTTTATGGTAATTTATCAAGATTTCCTCCCTTTCATGGAAGTGATTTAATTAATGTTATTTCCTCATTATTTAGAATGAAGTATCTGGTTTGTGTAGGGTAGTAGTAACCTGGGACCAAAATGAGCACTTTTCATCAATATGAATGAGGGGCTTTATTTATTTACTTCCTTGTTTCTTGCAGCTGTTGCAGCAATGCAATGAACCAACTTTTTACTTCAGTTATATGCTTTGTATAATTTTTCCTTGGATTTATCTGTACTTTTCAGGCTTTTTGATGTCTTTAATAGAAAAAAAAAGTACAGTAGCCAAAGCCTTAGGTTTCTAAGTAACCTTTCTGTGCCAGATAGTAATGACTGCTGGCCCTGTATCCAAGTTTAATATTGTAGAGGCCAGTTTAAAGTAGGAACTGTTTCAGCCCAGCACATAACATTGGTGACACCTCCTGACACTCTAATAGCAGGTTATCTAATATGGGCACAATTATTACAACAAATGCTGTAGGTTCCCTGAGTTAAATGCAATACCAGGAATTATTTCTCAGACACCTGTGAGTTTCTGCTACCATCATGGATTATTAGAAGGATGTACTGCAGGCACTGACAACATCATGTATGTATTCAGTTTAGGGAGGCTTTTGAGCTGATGTGACAACTTCCTAACTGAGGTGCCTTTGTACTCTTTCTGTCACACCTAATGCATTGATAACTCAATTGGCAGTGACCTGCAAGGATAGGATGCAACATCAGAACACTACTGATAAGAAAGTACTTGAGGGATGATAAATAAGGCAGTGCACATAAATAAATGCTACTTTTGGTGCACACAGAGTTTGTGTAGCTAAAGAATAAAAGCCATGTCCAGGGATGCTGCTGCATGTAGTAAAACTCTTTCAAGAACTAGGAAATCTGAGTGGTGGAAACAGCCATGGAAATGGTGTCACCCACAGCATTAGCACAGACAGGTTGTCTTCTCTTGAACCGTGCACTTTGCCAGTGACAGGGGTGTGCTCTGAGTAGAAAATGCCCAGTCTTTTACCTCAATATAAATAGGCATCCTGGGGCATGCAGGATACTGTCATATGTCCCTGGGCATCTCCCGTCCTCCTTCAGAACTGGTAAATGACATTCACTATTCCTTTCTTGGAAATGTGCAAAAAGGATTTCCATAGAGAGTCTTTGGAGATTTCCTGTTTTCTCATGTGTGTAATAGATTGGGTCAAGCAACAAAGAGGAGGGATGAAAGAATAAGATTTAATTTTATATGCACTCTCCTGTCATCGCCATTGGAAAAAAATGGATGAAAAGAGGAATTCTGCAATACAGGTGATGTCAGTGTTAAATTAAATTAAGATCATATGATTTTATGCAGCAGCTGTAAGCCTTCAGTTATGGCAGGGTTCGTAATAATAGAGTAGATTCCAAGCTAATGTTAAAAAAATTCTCATGTGTGAATAATTAATCAGAAAAATAGCAGCATTATCTACAGTACTTTAAGCCAATATAGATTAAACATATAACATGTAATTTATTCCGTTTTGGGGCATCTGAATTGTACAAAGATAAGTTGTGACAAATTAGAGAAACAAAAATAATACTGAGTTGTATTTCAGCATATCATTTTAAAACAGCATGGATGCGAAGGACACCATCTTAAGTTATTGATTATCAGAAACTCATAAAAGCACAGGCTCTTAAAATCTTTTAAATTATGGATAAGGAAGTTTATACTGCAAATCGGGGAGTACTTCTTTGGTTTTCTGCAAATTGCCAAAATACAGGGATTTAATTGCAAGTTACATTTTTTTGATTTGAAATTATTGAGTAGTTTCAAACAACTATAAATAATGATCAAAACCCTAGTCCCATCATGGCTAATTAGAGAACAGTTGTAGAAGTGGGAAAGCTTTAATTTTGTGTTCTGTGTGGGCAGAGAGATTAGGAGGGGAAGAAAGAGTGGAAATTCCTATTGGGGTATTTACTGTTTTTATCTTCCTGTTTCACAGGTTTTGAACACCTCTGTAGAAATCTTCACAAGCCTTTGTGATTCTGCTGGCCTGGGCAGAGCATATGCAGCTGTAGCCAAGATCCTGGCAAGGTAGGTTAGCACATCCTTGTCTGACTGTCAGTGCAGATTCACTCAGCTGTGAAAGACTTAAATTGTTAGAGGTCTGTCGCTTTCCATTACTGACTGCTTAAATTTTAAGCAGTGCCCTTTTTGCAGTAAGTGACCCTTTCATCGAAAGTTATTTTAAACTGTTACACATTTTTTAAAGTGTATGGTTCTAGTTTCTCTTTGCCTGTAAACTATAACATGTCCTTTTTCTTCCACGTTTTGAGGGCTTTTTAAGTGTTGGGGTTTTTTTTGGTTTTTTGGTTTTTTTTTTTTTTGGTTTGTGGGGGACCTTACCTTACTGGAAAATAGAGATGCAGACCTATTTTCCAGGTTAAGAAAGAAAGAAAATCTGGAACAACGTAGCAAGCTCCAGTAGGTGTCTCAGTGTAATATTTTCTGAACTGTAAGTTTCCATTTATTGCACTCACTTCTTCTGTGGAGGCATTTCTGGTTTGTGCATGTGTAACTAGGTACAAATTTTTTGCAGAGATGATGCTTGCGTTCAATATTTTCATTTCAGCATCTGGCATTGAAATCTTCCTCCAGGTGAATTAGTTCAGGTACAAATAATTTTGACATAAAGTTGCCTAATGAAATGATCATATGAGATAGGGAAAAAAGAGATTAAAGTGAAGGTTGCAGCTTATTCTTGACTTATCCTATGTTTGAAGACCTCAGTGCATATGATGCATGATAGAGCTTGGCAATTGTTTATGGAGAGGGACCTGTCACCTTGTTCATATCACTGTGCAGAGCAAATTCTCCTCTTGGAGTCAGATCCCTTGTCTCCTGGCCTTATCCAAGCACGTAGGGATCAGCCACAACCACAGTCTTCTTCAGCTCTCTGATGCATAATTCATGTCTACATGTATCCTGAGCATCCTAAATAAGGACATGGGAAAAGATATTCAAAAAGACACAGAACAGACTAAGAATACCAGGTCCCAGTTTTAAAACCATGTTAATTTCCTTTCTGTGATTTAGGCATTCTGGAATGAGGGCACATGCATTTATTTACTCAGAAGTTTCAGATTTCAAGATCTTTATGAAATTAGTTTGCTAAACCCTTCATCTGAAAGATCATGCCAATGCAATTCTTTTCTTAAAAGCAGACCTAAAGACAGAGTGGCTAGCAATTTTCTCCTGTATCAAATCTGTATTCCACTCCTTCTGGGAGCATTCTTTAACTATCCAGAAATGGACAGTCCCACTGTTACCAATTGTTGCAATTTGAAAAAGAAGTAAAACAGGAGATGAGGAGCAGTGGGAGCAGATACTGAGAACAGTAAGACTCCACAGTTTAGTATTTAAGGCATTCTCCTGGAAGAGGAATATTCTGATTAATTTAGGTGAAGGAGTAGTTCAATCTCATGTGTGGGATCAGGGATTTAATCTGTTGAAGAATAGATTAGAGAATAGATTGAGTCTTCTTGGTGAAGACCCAACCCTAAACCCTTTCTCTGAAAAATGGCTGTTGTTTTACTTTTTATAAAACCCATCTGGTAGTTATGCCATGAGAGCATTTAATTAAATTAAACACCTTCCATATACATCTGCTCTGAAGAGCTTTGGGTATGTGATAGGCATTAACTGTTCAACCCTGTCAAATGTCACAATGGTTCTCAGCAACTTTCAGTTGTTCGAGAAACTTACACGTGGAAAAGTCTGGGCACCTATGAATCATAGAGTGATAGAATCATAAAATAGTTTGGGTTGGAAGGGATCTTTACAGGTCAGCTGGGCCACCCCCTGCAGTGAGTAAGGACATCTTCAACTAGATCAAGTTGCTCAAAGCCCCATCCTGGCTGGCCTTGAATGTTCATTTCCAGGGATGGGGCACCAACCACCTCTCTGGGGAACCTGTTCCAGTGTTTTGCCACTCTCATTGTAAAACATTTCTTCCATACATCTAATCTAAATCGACCCTCCTTTAGTTTAGAGCCCTTGCCCTGTTGCAGCAGGCCCAACTTGTGCTCAACAATTTGTCTCTGTCTTTATTATAAGCTCACATTGGAGCTGTAAGGTCTCCCTGGCGACTTCCCCAGGCTGTACAACCCCAGCTCTCTCAGCCTATCTTCATAGGAGAGGTGCTCCAGCCCTCTGAGCATCTTGGTGGTCTCCTCTGTATCCACTCCAACAGATCCATATCCATTCTGTGCTGAGGATGCCAGAGCTGGACACAGAACACTTTGGATAAATGCACCAAAAATTACTGCTGGTAACAGAATCCCCATATTCAGCTTGTTCAACCTTCCTTTACTTGTATTGTTACTTGATCTAGGCTAGATTTGTGTAAATAATTTTAAATTTGATGGATAACATCTTCACAGGAAGATGACTGTTTCCCAAAAATAATGCATTACAACCATAATGTCTGTGAGAATTTGCACTTATTTCCTCATGACAGATTGGAGAAAGTGCCTGAGCCCTCCTGAATGGCTCAGAACCTGTCTATGGCTTTGGAATATTTTTTGCAATCTTTGCTGCAGATGATGCAGACTATGGGAAACTGAAAATCTTTATCATGTGCATTTAGTCATGTCATTTTCCAGGGGAAAGAATCTGACATAATAGCATCATGTTCTTGACTTATTCTGCCAGTGTCCACCATGGTAATGACTTCTTGTGGACACATGATTTATACATCCAATTCCATCACATGAGCAATCCTATAAAAGGTGCATATTTTCATAAAAGTCTAATAGGGGTAAAAATCTCATAGGGCATTTTAGCATGAAACTGGAAAATGAGCTGCTGTAGATGTGTAATCTCTTCTGCTGAAGTCATCATAACTGTTCTGTGGGATCATGAATGACTATATCTTTAGGAAATTGCATTTTATGCATTTAGGAAGGTGATGTCTAAGGAGATAGAAAGTGTATGGCTGTATAAAATAACATGTAGATTTTTGAAAGAACTATAAAATATTAGCCCTTTGAGTAGGAAAGATCTGTTTATCATGTTATCAGGTCTTGTGCAGGATAAAGTGTTTCAGTAATCCTTCTAGCATAGTTTAAATATCTCAAGCTGTAGTGCTTTTAAAAGTACTTCCTTTGAAAAATTGTTGAACTGTTCCAACTGATTTCTAGCTGGTGTAAGTGAAGTCCTAACAGTGAGAAATATCTTTCTGATATGTATCAAATTGATTCCTGTTTTCCTCAAAGAGGTTATATGCCCTAGCAATTTTCATATTTTCTATATGTGGAACAGAAGTTTTGATGTGAAAAGTAAAAAATGGCCAAAAATACATCAAAACATTTCTATTAATTCATGAAATTAAGAAAACCTTTTTACATTTTCTCCTGTCACTGATTCCATTTGCTTTATTACTTTCAGCCTCTAGCCCACAAACTTGGTGGTACAATCAACAAACCCCTTAGTGGCTGTTTCATCTCTGCTCTTTTTTATTTCTCCACTCTGAGTAAATGATTAAGTTTTCATGCATTGGTTCAACCAAAATCTATGTTCACTCAACCACATCCTTTATTGATTACTTCTACTGCAAACAGTAGGCCAAGTGTGATATACATAATTGGACAGTTGTCAGGGGATGTGGGTGTTAACAGTCCTGTTTTCCCAATTGGAAACTGGAATCACCTTGATACACAAATATTCTGCACTGTTTCATTCTCATTCCTTGGACCAAGGAGTCCTTTTCCTCAGAATATATGTTTTTAACTCTCAAAGGTCTGGTTGAATGGATTTAATGATTATACCATATAATATGCTCTTCAAGTTGCACCTGTGCACTGCATATAGAAAACTAGAAAAACTGGAATTAATATTTGTCTAACACTTTAACCTTGTCCTTTAACTTATATAAATCATATGCTGTATTTCTTTAGGGAAGCATTTGATTTTCTTTTCTTTGGAAAAAGAAAAAAGGTTAAAAAAATATGTGTTTCTAATTCTAAAATTTAGAAGCCTTTTGACATTTGGTAAATGTTTACAGTCCAGTATGTTTTGTATTCTCATGGTAATAAAATACTTAACTTAGGAAAGTTTAGTAAATCTAAGTCTGCTAATTGACCTCTAAGCTTTACAGTAGCATATACTTGAGCATTTCAAGAATGTTAGTTTGCAGTGATTTAGCATCCTTTTGTAGTAATCTTACCCTCTTAGTCACATACAGATAATCACTGCAATATTTTAAATTTGCAGTTAAGCTTTGCTATGTTTCCTGTTTCGTGGTAGGCTGTTATAATTACTCCAACAGCATAAAAGAGAGTTCAGAGTTCTGCCAGATTTTGAAAGCACATATCCCTAATATAGTTTATAATAAAAACTGTACTGTAAATAAATGCCAGGCCATCATTTACTGCAGGAATATAACTTGAAGGTAGTTTAAGATGGTGAGAAAATAAATCACAATTCTTTATTGCTTACAGAAACTCCTATTTTTGTGAATCTCTTAATTAAGACTGGATTTTCTGTCTTGGTGCCTTGACATTTAGCATGCTACACTCCTACATTAGTGACTCAAGTTCATGGCTAATATTGAGGTCAGCTGGAATAACACTCCAGCCTTAAAGGGAAAAAGGGCACCAAGCCTTATTCACAAGCAAGCTCAGATGTCTGTCTTATATCTTGCAATCACACTGCTGAGGTCTTATATTGTTAATATGACCGGCTTTATTAAAAAAAAAAAAGGAAATCTGCAAATGTTATTGTCAAAGTATGTTACCAATTTTCAAGTTAGATGCAGCTGTGACCTCAGGTTGCTCTGAGCTCACTGGGATTTGGGGGTGGCACCCGCAATCCATGGTTTATAGGTTTGCCTGTGTGACCCTGGGCACCTTTGATCCAGCCAGCCAAAGGGCAGTGTTGTGTTCAGGGAAAGGCTGTCAGCCCAGAACTGAGATACAGCACTTTTATGGAGCCACTGCTGCACCACCAGGTTCTAGAGCAGCTCTGAATGACTCAAATAAACACCTTCATACCTCCTTCCCCTATTTTGTCAGGATGTGAGGTCCAGCTCAATTGAAAATATTATCAGCAGCTCAGTAGAAAGAAAAAATAAAATAATGGAAAGTACAAAAGCCCTCTTAAATCATCCACCTATGTTTTTATTCATGGCCTTAAAATAAGGCACAATATTCTGAAAGAAAGTTTTGCTCTATTTTGCTGAAAGGATCCAGTTTTGCCCTCAGACATTCTGTGTGAAGTAGTCTCACTGGGCTCAGCACAGGTAGTGCTGGAGGCCATTTGGAAATAAAATCCAGTCATGGATGAGTCATCACAAAGTAAAGTTTCTTCAGAACAAGGGGGCAGATCTTCAGCATTTGAAGAAGCCATCTGAGTAAATATTTCATTTTGTCCCTGTCCTTTGCTTCAGTCAGGGAAAATCAAGTGAGGCTGTGAAGTATTTGGGAGAGTTTATGAAGGATGCTGAGAGTGCTAATCTAAGCCAAAGCCTGGTGGATGCAAATGTCCTACTTGGAAAAGTTCACAATGAAAGAGTAAGTACTGTTTGTAGTAATGATCTCAAACAACTTGATTTACTTCTTGGTAAAATCTGGTTTTGCCTAGGAGATGACACATGAGGATTTAATCCAGGTGTTGCATCTTGCAGGAGTTACCCAGGGAGAAGTCACAGTGTAGACTAAATGAAATGTGCCTTAATTTTCTGAGAAAGGTGAAAAATTCACATCATATTTAACACAGAGAGTTTTGTTCTAAAATAGATGAATAAAAAATTCCAAATTCAGATCAGGACAAACTTTACATGTTGTGAAATATCCACATCCAGATCACCATTGGGGCCATATATGCCTATAAAGAGTCATCAGTTAATGCAAATGAAATTTTATTGCACTGTACATGAATGTATACTGCATTGCATACTAATGGGCTGTTTATAATCTTAGCTACATTTCTTCTCTACATTCTCTCAGCCAAATTTATGAAATGGGTTCTAGCAGCAAGTAGTTTGTCAAAGGTCTGTTAGCAATGGAAGGACTTCCTCTTGTCTCCACTTGCACTGCAGTGACACTTGGGTTTTGAAATCAAAGGGTTAAAGACATTGCTGAAAAAGTCAAAGATTCGTGCTTTAACACCTATTTTAGAGCTGAATTGCTACACAAAATTATTTAGATACAATAAGTAATAAAAAGAATTTGTTCTGTATGCTGTCTAATATGGAACTTAGGAAACAGTTCCACTACAAATAAATTAAAACTAGAAATACCCTTTCTATCTTCTGTTGCGTATTTTTTGTCATCAGTTCTGTGTGTAATATATTGAACAGAGTACTTTCCCCTTTTCACTTACACTATCCCTAAGTACCCTTTTTTTTGTTTCCTGGGTTCCTCTTACAGAGAACTCCCACTACCAAAATTGCTGTCCTGGTTTGTCCTGGTTTTATTTCATAAGCAGTAGAAATTTTTTTGCTCTATAATCTCTAAATTGGCCTGAGAGTTTTCTGTTTACATGTGTTCTTAATATAAATGCTGAATTTCCCATTGAAAACTAAGTTTTATAAAAGGTCTTTGACAACTTGATGAAGTAACTGTAAAATGGGTCTGAAACTTAGAAGGGTCATATGACACTGTGCTGAATTATTCTCCTCCAAATCTGAAAAATAATTAAATAGATTCTGTTTAACTACTTCTGTATGTCATTCCTTCTTCCACCATTGCTAATAATCAATTCAATAGAACTTGTATTTTAATAACTAATCTCTATTTTATTATTCTTCAAATTCTCTTTCTCAATTCAGAATTTTCTGCCTTGAGCTGAGGCAGTGGTGTAGAAGGGCATTACTGCAGTAACTTAATCATATCAATGTATATAAAATATTTAGTTTAAACATAAATTTAAAAATCTTGAAGTTTGCAATTTCCTGTTTTCTATATAATTTTTTTCTGCAAGGTCAGCAGTGTTTATCAAAACGGAGTGTGAAGTAACATTTCCTCTTTTGGATCACTGCCTGCTGGTGTCAGCTGTCATCGCCAGTATTCTCTAAATCATTATTAGGGTCTTCTTATTCAACTCTGTACATCCCCCAGTGATAAAATTTGCAGAAGTACTGTCCATCAAATTAAAGATATTTCTGTTTATATCCAGATTTATCATGGGGACCCTTAGTAAACCTGGGATATAACTCTTCCTGTTCTTCCCAACACAAATCACTTTGACCAAATTCACTTTGCTCTGTCCATACTGTTACTGTATCTTTCCAGTTCTCTCATTTCGCTATTCCCTCACCAGCATTGTCTTTGTTTAATGCTGTACGCACAGTTTGCTTTCTAGTCACAATTGTTTTACCCAGATGTTTCTTGTTTCCTAACATGCCTGGGTTTGTGTTATGCAGGAGTAGTAGCTCTCATTTCCCCCAGTTCAGTAAGCAGGTTGCTTACTTAATATGTACACTCTGAAGTTTGCATGATAATTCTGTCATTTCTCATTTCATTTTTTCTGAGTTTCTTAGTCTGATTTGCTACATTCCTCTCACTAATTGCATCACTTAACCTGCTATAGTTCTCATGAGTATGGTAAGTAGGTGTTTCTGCTTTTTATTATATTACAGCTTATCATTCTTTATTCATTGTTGTGTCCTCATGGGCCTAATTCTGCTCTTCTGCTGTATTAAACAAAGCTGAAAGACTACCAGAATTGCTATTACTCTTTTTTTTTTCTTTTTTAATCATAAGCACATTTTAGCAGTTATAGGAGTTTTCATCCCAAAAAGTGATATCAAGTGAAACAGGTACCAGTTGGAGTCTCACCTCCCAGTGTCCATACAGAAGAGAATTTCAATTTTATTAAATCAAGGTGAGAGTGAAAGGATAAAACAGCTCTGAAAAGGTTTTCATTCAGGAAGTTTCTGCTATCAGAGCAGCAGAATTCCATGCCAATGGTAGGATAGAGAGATAAATGATTTGAGTTTTCAATTCAGCAACAATTGGGCTACATTTCTCCTACTTTTTCTTTTTTGTGATTAGGAATATCCCTAGTGTTTGTATACCCCTTTCTTCCCCCATAAATGAGCAAATTTAAATTTCTGGTTTTTTCTGTTATTTAAGTCTATCACTTCATTATCCCCTTTTTTTTCCATTTCTAGGATTTATTCTTTAAGATTTAATACTACCAGAAATTAGGACCTTTTCTCCCACAGATATGTTGAATGCAGGGGAACAATAATTTCTAAACAGCCTGGCTGCAATCTGTATTAATACTTAGCGTTGATATACTTGAATTTGTATGCTCAAAATTCTACAGAAATAACCAAAAAACTATTCAATTCAAATATGTGAACCATGTTACCTGTATTTTAGAGGTTAGAAAACAGCAAGGGAGAGTGATTTCTTTAATGCCCTGCCATGAGTCACTCTGTGGGCTGCCACATCTCTGAGGTGGCAGAGGAGAAGGCTCTGATGTCAAAATAAAATAAGGGTGACTACAAGTAGCTTTTAACATTATTTTCTTTTTTTCTCTCTTCTTTACTAGGGGAACTATAACCAAGCTCTGGAATATTTCAGTCAGGCCTCTGAGGCAGCGAGAGCTTTGAACAATCTGCCCTTGGTGGCTGAAACAGAGAGCTACTGTGGCATTGCCAAGGCTCATCAGCTGATGGTGCCGTTCAACAGCCACGTAGCAGCAGCAGCCGATCCGCTCAGCCTGCAGTGCCTGCTGGCATGGAAGCAAAACAGAAGTGACATGTGCAGTGACCCTCTTCCAGCCGGTAAGGCAGTGCTTATGAAACACATTAGTGCTGCATTGTCCTCAACACTTAAGTCATTTTTCTTGTAGAGTTTTATTAAATTATTTCCCGGGTTTAATCCTTGTACGGAACGGAGGTTGGGCTTTACCTCTTTGTGCGTTTGTTTTAGAGGCTGAATTAAACAGGTTAAAATACAATGTAACTGGGAGAAATGGACAGTAGTAGTTGCTCTGGGTGGTAAGTTGCATTTTTTCAGTGCTGTTTGCCAGAACACCACAGTTACATGTTTTAGTCAAAACATAATTGTTTTAATCTTTAAAGAAAATAATAATAATCTCCATTTGCAGTACACTTTTCAAGTGCATCCAAAAATAAGATCCCTGTTACTAAAAGTGAGACGTAATTTCTGCTTGACATAGTTCTGAATCCAGAAAAACACACTGCTTTATTTTTGGTATCCTTGTACTTCACATTAGAGAGAAAGGGAAAAAATAAAAGCAAGTCTGCTTACTTTACTATGTTTCCCTATCTCAGAAAGAGCAGAGGAGGACTTTGTGTGGATTAGCCCTCTTTCTTCATGGGTTAAATTTTCTTTGCTCTTTTTCCCTCGTACAATACATTAATACAAGACAAACTGAATTATGCAGTATCTCCAAGTAGTGATAGTAGTAAACTGTATTGTACTAAGGAAGGGGGAGGTATATGTCTACTCTACCTTAAAACTTCCTGCTCTGCACTCCTGTGAAGAGTGTGAATCTGGACTGCAGTGGAAATAAATGACAACTGGGGGGGCAGTCACAATATGGAGCTTCAGGGTTACTTTGTTATTCCCTCAATTATCCTACTCCTAAAGACAAAGAACTGCCTGGCTGCTGCTTTCTTGTGTATTTCACCCTCTCACAGAAGTGGAAAATTAAGTATAACTTCTGTGGTGAATTTTGTATATAAAATAAGTGATAATTGAAGATATTAGCAGTTTAACAGGAGCCAGGATGCCAGAGGCAACACTGGGAGCTGCTGAGAATTATGGAACAAGGGCATTCATTTGGAAGCTGAAGAGATAGTACTTAGATAGTATTCTGTTTAAAGTTCTAGTAATGGTAACACTTCTTCAATGGCTATACATACCTATATTTGTGATTTGTGTCTCAATAAGTGAACATCTAGCACACTGACAGATTTTGTTGGCTGTCATAGTTATTTGGGTGTATGTCTCCTGTCTAGACATGCAGTGCAAATGCCAAGAATTCCAACAGAGATGGTCGGAAAAATAATTCATAAAAGAATTTTATATACATTTCATATAAGGATCGCTAACTGTAGCTGATAAAAATAGGAGGCAAACAAAAGTCAACAATGGCAACAGCAAAAAAACCCCCACAGGAACCTCAAAGTCATAGAATGAACTTTGTATCTCCAATATGAATTTTAGTTCTTGCATCTAAAGGGGTTTTCTGTTCAACTTTTATACATGGCTTTTCCCAGTCAATTGTGAAACTTATTTATATCCTGAAATTATATGTGCCCCTTTAAGCTCAAGAATCCTGCTCCTCTTTAACAGTACTTCAGGGATAAACAGAGTATGATTAGAAAAGCCCTTTATGTCCTGGCAAGCATGGTACCACAAACAAGTTTTGCCTGCTGAGATTCTCTTCCTTCTGTATTTCTGCCTAGTTTACCCTCTGTTACTTTCAGTATTGCAGTTTTCATTTCAGTTCCAGTTCACTCCAGGAACCCTGTGGCTACTGCATATTTAGCAGCTCTTCCAGTTCAATATCATTCTTCTCATTAGTGCTCCAAGCTTACTCTCATGATACCCAGATTACATCCAGGAAAACATAGTGTCACACTGTCAGCACAATCTGTAACATTTCTCATGTTTCGTGTGCCAAATCTCTCGTTAGTACTGGCATTACATTTTTAATATCTTTGTCTGGCAAAACATGACCTGGCACCAATTCAAGATTAGGATTTGCTGGCTTTGAGTTTCAGGTACAGCCTTTATTCTACCTTCCAGGAGAATGTCTCTGCATCCTATGATGAACTCATCACTTAGAAAATTCCTGCTGTGATAATAGAGCAGTATTTCTAGCTCTTTCAAACAGCACAGTGTTGATAATCTACTAGATTTTTCTCAGTCTTTTTGAGGATAGAACAGAGAAAGACAAGATACAATGGTAGCTCTTAATCCGCAGGGAAATTTTATGAAAGGGAGAAGAAAGGCAGTAAGTTTTTATTTCTAACTCTTCTGACTGAAAAAAAAAATTCTGTGTCAAAAAAATAACAGTAGATTCTGTATTCGTAGGCAAAAGAAATGCTTAAGCTAGTGGGGGAACAATTACATTTAAATTCAAGTACTGCCATATTACCTTATGTCTTTCAACCAAAATTTATTTTATAAATCAATCATTTCAATAACCAGGCAGGAAGAACCATTAATTACTCGTTTTACCTCAACATTTATTAATAAAATAGATGTTTTGCCAGAGTTCTCATGGACAAAAGGGATGGGATTTTTAGAAGACAATGATTAAAAATGCAAAGGAGAATGTGTTTCTATCTGCTGTCTTTGACTCAGTCACCTGACTTCACTTCAGGAGAGTTATTTATATCATTGTGAGATGCCACTGCAACAATATGGTTTTATTGTTCTTTTTATGTTTAGTAAAATGGATAGAAAACATTATCAGCAGAATCAGTAAGCAAAAAGGATTGTGACTCCACATAAAATCCTAAAAAGAAGCCTACAGCCTAACATTTTCTGATGAGAAAATATTTCACAGGTCTTTCAATAAATAATCACCTGACTTGCCGCCTTCTAGAGGAAAGAAGAATAATTAAAGGTGCTGAAGGCAGGAAATTTTGGAATCAGATTTTGCATGTTGATTACATGAAATGCTGACCAGAAATTGTTTTCTGTGAGACTGGCAACTCTCAGCCCAGGTTTTTGCATCTGGCAGGGCTGTGCCTCAGCAAGAGCCCTTGAATGCTTGAAATCATCTGAACGCTTTTGAGAGTAGACTTAAAATGCATTATTTCCCCTATCCTACAAAGTCTTCAGTTGTTTTCTTGAGAAATAGTATGTGCTTTTGACAACAATTTAGATTTACATTCCTTGACTTTGGAGAACTTGGCAAAACTGACACATTTTACCATAGATTTCCTGTCTTTATTTTGTTGGAGTTTTTCTATGATACCTTTAAATACTGCATATTGTCATCAATTCTGAAGTCTTATGATCAATGGAATTATCTGGTACCGTCAACTTCAGCATAATCAGGACTATTTCTAGTATTCCACACCTAAGCAGCCTTTGATATAATTTAAAATGCATGCACCAGCTAAGCCTATAGCTTGGAAAATACAGTCCAATGAATTTTTGTTCTTACTCCCAAATATGTAGTCCCTCAATATTCTTTCTCCAGCCTCCTTTCATGGATGTAAGGAATGGTACATTCCATAGTGTGACTGTGTCCTTTTGTGTTGTGTAAGAAATTACATTTTCTTTCTACTGATTCACATATTTGAAAGCTCTTTAAGATGTTTTATAGTCATTTTTCTGTAAAAGATGGAGCTAGCACAAAATTTCTAATGTTTTGGAAAACAGCAATCTGACCAGGTGCATTTTAGATTGAACGTGTGTATACCTTTGTCATTCATTAATAAAAGGATTATCCATAAAGGATGAGAGAGTCAGAAGTGAGATGTGAGATCAAGGATTATGCTAAACAAATTCAGTTAACATTTTTCTACTGTAACTTACCAGAGCTGTGTAATTTATGGGCCATTTTGGTAATCGTGTCCAACAGCAGAACAGACTGCTTCATAATGTGATAAACTGCATTTTTTCACTCTCTCTTTTGCCTAAAGTACACTAATTCCAGGAAAACTTCTAATGTTACCTCTTCCCTCTCAGCAGTCAGTGCACTGTGTGCTCATCTGGAGATAGGGAGAAACTGGAAGGATTTTAGAGACAGATTTTGGGGTTTCTCAAAAAATGCAACTGAACATGAAGTAAGGGAATTATGCACACTATTGTTATTCATATATAGTGTGTATATAATTACAGACATTATTGCTCACACTGGTAAATAAGAACTATGACTTTGAATTATATAAAGGAGGTGTGTGACCAAGTACAGACTCCAAGGCTGTCCCTGTGCCAGAGGCACAAAGGCTCACTTCTTAATAAGCCCATTTTAAACATAGTTCAAATGCTTCAGTCCCCTACTGAAATTCACAGGACAGCTCTGTACCTGTTTATGGGGTGTCTCAAACAGAATCATTTTCTCCCTTCTGGAGAAATACAGTAGCTAAAAAATCTGAAATATATGCATTTAGGAAAATTATTAGGAAAGTGAAAAGTTGAGAGGTGATTCTGTCTTTTTTTCTTTAAAATGTAGTGAACTTATGCTGCCTCTTCTTTATTCACATCACCTAGCACTCATTGCTTTCTAAATTTTAACTTGTCTCACCTTTAGCTTTTAAAAACATCAGCCTTTTTTATATTAATGCTAGATACACTCTTAAAATATTCTTAACTAAGTCTTATTGCAGCCTTAACTAAGTGTTGAAATAGACCATGCTTGTGTATAGATGTTTATGGCTTAGAACAGGTGTGTTTCTGAAAATCAGCTTAAGTGGTTCATATATGTAATATTATTTATTATTAGTTGGGGTTTGTTTTTTTAAGTATGTGTTAAGTGTGCCTAGAGATACACTGAAATTTTTAGCAAGTGAGATTAATTACTGCTTGGACTACAGAAAGAATCAAGTGTGAAGAGAAGAGCTGAGGGTGACAGGGAGTTTTTCAGCACATTGTGGTCAGTGGCTGGATGCAGCAGATTCTCAGTGAAGAGCCTGAGAACATGGTATAAACATCTGTGTCAGTTTTGCCAGAGTTGCAGTAGCTTGCTCTATTTTCTGATGATGGCTGGAAAGAGGGGAGTGCTGATATTCAGTGTTCTCATGCTTTGTACAAATGCAGTATCCAGCAGGTTTTACGGTGATTTCTTTTAAAT